GATTTTATTTATTTGAGAGAGAGAGAGCACATGAGCAGGGGAGCGAGCAGAGGGAGCAGCAGGCTGAGCAGAGAGCCTGATGTGGGGCTCCCTCTCACGTCCCTGAGATCATGACTTGAGCCAAAGACAGACACTTAACCTACTGAACCACCCAGGTACCCTATTTATCAGTTTTAATATCTAGTACATTAAATATCACAGATATAATGCACAAAAAATTCTTTGGTAATCTCGGTAATTTTTAATTGCATAAAGGGGGGCGCCTGGGTGGCTCAGTCTATTAGGCGTCTGTCTTTGGCTGGGGTCGTGGTCCCGGGGTCCTGGGATCAAGCCCCACATTGGGCTCCCTGCTTGGCAGGAGGCCTGCTTCTCCCTCTCCCCCTCCCCCTGCTTGTGTTCCCTCTCTCGCTGTCTCTGTCAAAAAATAAATAAAATCTTAAAAAAAAAAAATTGCATAAAGGGATCCTGAGACCAAAAACTTTGAGAACGACCGCCCAAGTTTTATTCTGCCATACATCTAATACGGTGAAAAACTCTGCAGCCATTGAAATGGTGCATGAAAACATATTTACTAAATGGGTATGATCCTGTATTTAATTAAAATTGTGTGTGTGTGTGTGTGTGTGTGTGTGTGTGTGTGTGTGTACCCATAAGAAAAATGTATGGAAGGATGCCTATCAGTTAATGCTAATTGTTTCTAGGTGGTAAGATTGTGGAGATATTTATTTTCTTCTCTATTCCTTTTCTATATGTACTAGCTAAAATTTTTTTAGTGTGGTAAAAAATATCACATAAAATTCACCATTTCAACTGTCTTCAAGTGTACAGTCCAGTAGTGCTAAGTATATTCACATTGTTGTGAACCAGATTTCCAGAACCTTTCCATCTTTTTTTTTTAAAGATTTTATTTATTTATTTGACAGAGAGAGACACAGCGAGAGAGGGAACACAAGCAGGGGGAGTGGGAGAGGGAGAAGCAGGCTTCCCACAGAGCAGGGACCCCGATGTGGGACTCGATCCCAGGGCCCTGAGATCACTACAGGAAGTGAAGGTAGACACTTAACCAACTGAGCCACCCAGGCACCCCATAAGCTTTTTTTCTCAAGATTCATTTATTTTAGAGAGAGAGAGAGAGTGAGTGGGTGGAGTGGCAGAAAGAGAGGAAGAGAAGCAGACTATGGCAATGAGCCTGGAGCCCGATGTGGGGCTTGATCCCACGACCCTGAGATCATAACCTGAGCTGAAACCGAGAGTCAGGTGCTTAACCGACGGAGCCACGCAAGCACCCCTAGACATAAACTTAATAGAATAGAATGTAAGCTTACTGCTGCTTAGCGGAATGCTTGGCCCATGGTAGGCACCCAATAAATATTTGAATGACTAGACAAATAGGCAAATATGTGAAAGCACCTTGAAGAACAGCATGTACAATACAGGTTAACGTCCTTCTTTCCAGACTCTAGCACATATTTGCTTTTAGTTTTTCCTTGTTTTAGAGTATAGCTTGAGAACCAAAAAATTTAAACTAAAATTTAAATTTAGTAAGTCTAACCCAATATCTCAAAACAATATAGTTTATGTGAATTATTTACACAGCCTAAAGGGAACAAAAAAATGCTTAAGAAATTACCCCCACTAAGGGATTTCTAAGTCAAGAAAATCTTAATTTTCTATACAGTTGAGTAAAAAGATTATTATTTTCTGAAGACGCCCTGAAATCAGCCTGTTGTCTTACAAGTGTTTCTAGTTGTTGACCAGTTGTTGACCTTCTGTGAGTCCCTAAAAGCCCAGTGCCATTAGAGAAGATCAACCCAAAGGCCACATGGAAATGATACGACTTTATAATTATTAAATGATCCACATGAACTGTCCTAATTTGAAGATTTTTATTTATTTTTTTAAAGATTTTATTTATTTATTCATCTATTTATTTATTTGATAGGGGAGGGGCAGAGGGAGAGGGAAAGAATCTTTTTTTAAAAAAAAAAGATTTATTTATTTATTTTAGAGAGAGAGCACGAGCAGGAAGGGCAAAGGGAGAGGGAGAGAGAGAATCTCAGACTCTGTGCTGAGTGTGGAGCCAGACATGGGCTCAGTCTCACAACTGTGAGATCACTACTGTGAGATCATGATCTGAGCCGAAACCAAGAGTCAGATGCTAAACCAACTGCACCACCCGGGCACTCCTGAAGATTTTTATTTCTAATTCATTATCATCACATAGTTTGTGAGTCACCAAATCTGTGCGACTTAGTGGGAAAACTCTGGACTTGGAATCAGAAAGCCAGGTCTAAATCTGCTTGACAAGGTTATTGTGAAGATTAAATGAAATACTACTACTAATAAAAACATCTATTGAACACCTACTTCATATTGTATATGGAGCTAGATGTGTTACATATATTAGGCAAGTTCTCAAAAAAAGCATTGTGAAATATGCAGCATTATTCCCACATTACAGACAAGGAAATGGGGGCTCTGGGAGGTGGAAAAAGTGGCCAAGTTTCCACAACCTTTCAACATGCAGGGCTAGGATGCATGTAAAGGGCTCTCACTAGGATGTATGTAAGCTGGAACTTGCCATAAGAATGTAAGGTGTCTAATTACAAAGTGTCTCTGAAAGAAAGGATCATTTCTATTAATATCGCTTCTCTGGCAGAATGGATCAAACCAACTTAGATCCAGGAGCCAGAAACTCATCTAATCTCAACCACAGACCATCACATGTGCAAGTTGCTTTTCTTTGCTTCCTCATTTATGTTTTCCCAGTTTCCATATTAGTAACTTATATGTGGACTACACTGCCCACATCTCAGGATGTCACGAGGACTCACAGTTTAGAAAACTTGCAAAGATCCACTTTTCAAATCACCCAAATATTCCAAAGAAATTGTTGTGAGTTTTGCTCTTTGAGGTTGCATTTGGGTCAATGTCATGGCAAAGGCAGAGAAAGAGCCTAGGCGTCTGCTTTTCCACCTCCGTGTCTACCACCGTATGATCTCCTGGTGACTTGGTGTTTATGGATGATTTTTTTTCTTATGTATTGTTTCCGGATATAAACTTGATTCAAAATAGTAACTGATACACACACACAAACTCCAAACTGTCACCTTCCTCAGCTAGCTATTTAGTTAACTTTTAAGTTGCCTGAGAATAGACAGATCTATGCAAATTAGATATACATTTCAAAACAATCCATTCTTTTTTTTCCTTTTTTTTTTTTTGACAGAAAGAGACAGCGAGAGAGGGAACACAAGCAGGGGGAGTGGGAGAGGGAGAAGCAGGCTTCCCTCTGAGCAGGGAGCCCAACGTGGGGCTTGATCCCAGGACCCTGGGATCATGACCTGAGCCGAAGGCAGATGCTTAACAAATGAGCCACCCAGGCGCCCCAACAATCCATTCTTATTTACCTATTTTTTTAATTATGTTATGTTAATCACCATACATTACATCATTAGTTTTTGATGTAGTGTCCCATCATTCATTGTTTGCATATAACACCCAGTGCTCCATTCAATACGTGCCCTCTTTAATACCCATCACCGGGCTAACCCATCCTCCCACCCCCCTCCCCTCTAGAACCCTCAGTTTGTTTCTCAGAGTCCATAGTCTCTCACAGTTCATCTTATTTCCCTATTTTTTAAAGTAAGCTTTACACCCAATGTGAGACTTGAACTCATGACCTTGAGATCGAGTCACATGCTCTACGGACTAAGCCAACCAGGTGCCCCCAGTCCATTTTTAAGTATTGTTTTATAGGTGGTGCAATCTCAGTAGAAAATCCTAAGGGTCTTGGTGTCATTTGTTTAGCCAACAAATATTTATTGGATTGCCACTAAGTGCCAAGCAGGATGCCATGAACTTTAATGAGTGCACTAGACGAGACAAAGCCCATCTCTGCATTCACGGAGTTTGTAATTTAGCAGGTGAGGCCAACATGGGAGCAATAATCACAATACTAGCAGATGTGCCAAGCTCTAGCCAGGTCAGGATGCAGGGAGAGTGTGTCATGGAGACTTTCAGCTGCCTGGCGTTCCAAGCACAGCTTCTTTGAGGATGTTATATTTCAGCTGAGACAGGCTACCATCTGCCCAGGGTTGTGTAACTGTCTTCACGTCCCAACTGTGACACTTGGACATGTTAATGTCTTAAAGCCTGAGTCCTCTTGTGTAAACTGAGCATAATACACACTTGGCAGAGAGGTGAAAATACAAGAGAATACAAGGAAAGCATCTCCTAGGGCATCAGGCATATAGAGTGAGCCCTAAGTGCATGGTGCTTTTCACGATTATCTATCAATGTAGGGCATCAAGGGAAAACTGAAGGAGTTTGCCCAACAGCTAAAGATAAATTTACAGAGGGGAAATTTGGCAAAGACTCCAAATTCGAGAGATAGTCATCACCCCAAACTCAGGCTTTGCATCCTGAATTTCAGGTGCTGGAGTACCTGATACTTTAAGGCTCTGCCAAGTGCTGTTTTCAAGATAAGCTGGTAGGAATTTCTGAAGGTTGATCTCTTTCTAGCTGTGGGTGAGCCAACGCCCAGGTCCGACTTCTCAGGTAAAAGTAGGACGTCTGGGAAACATCTCTCTGGTCAGAGGACACACGGTTAATCAAGAGACAAGCCAGTGTTTATAAGCCAGATGAGGCGGGGAGCGATGAACGCCCAGCTGGAGGTTTTAGTTGAGGGTCAGAAGACCCGGCACCACCCAGATGAGGTCTGGAGTGGGAACAGTGCGCAAGGACCTTGTGCTCCGGGGTCGGGATGCCCAGGGCCGGTCCGCGGGCGCTCCCTCTCCAGGGCTCCTGGGCACTTGGCTCCTGGCCAGGTCCGCACCCTCCGAGGGGGTGTGGGTGATTCCGTAAGTGGGCGTGACCGGCCCCGAGGGGAAGGAGTGCAGGGAAGTGGGAGCGAGCGGGGGTGGCGGGGCGGCGAGAGAGGGAGCAGTGGGAGGGATGCAGGGCAGGAGTGGGAGGGATGCAGGGCGCAGTGGGAGGGGTGAGGAGCGAGAGAGAAAAGGGCGCTGTGGCGGGGCGGGAGGAAGTGAGCGACGTCTCGGCTCCCGCTGCGAGGCGGCTGGCGGGTGGGCCGGCCAGGTGAGCCCGCGATGCCGCTACGCTGGAAGCCGGGGCTGCCGCTGCTGCTGCTCCTGGGGCCGCTCGGTCCCTTCTCCCCAGGCGCCCGGGCGGGACCCGCGCAGGCCGAGGACGCCGTGGAGCTGCGCTTCTCCACCGAGCGGCCGGTGCACCTGGTGAGTCCCGCGTTCCTGTCCTTCACCATCGACGCCAACCTGGCCACCGACCCGCGGTTCCTCACCTTCCTGGGGTAAGCGCCGGCCGGCCTGTCCCTGTGTCCTGCCTTCCTGACATCCACGCCCGGGGGGGGGGACCTTTATCTCTCTCCGTCTCTCGGTCTCTGACTCTTTCCTGCCCTCCCTCCTCTCCTCCCTCCCACTCCCGAGGCAGCCGCCCCCAAACCGCTCTTTCCCGCCTTCATTCATTCAGCAAGTGTGGCCTGAGCGCCAACTAAAGGCCAGGTATTACGGGGAAATTTGGAAAAGAAATTTCCCACCTACCCCAGAAACATGCCTGGAGGAGGGGACCCAGGCAAGTGTGCCTGGAGGGCTATGAGCCCTTGAATTTGCAGCACAGTGTAGGACAGTTAAGATCGTGGACCAGACTTCCCTCTCTTAAACTCTGTTAAGAAAGTTAAAAAAAAAAAAAGTTAGAAAAGATCTCAAAGGAAAATAAGTGTGTGTGTATAAAATATAATTTTATATATTTTAAAATAAACTTTTAAAGAGCAGTTTTAGGTTAACAGCAAAGTTAAGCACAAGGTAGAGATTTCCAGCATTAGACTATTTTTTTAATCTAAATATTAAATAAATGAGACTTAGGAGACCACTGCAGTGACTTACAGAGCCTGAATAAAAAGATATTTTTCCAACACAAGGCTGCAAAATCAGCCGTAATTTTTTTTCTTGCCTGAGAGAGACAAGCTGGTGCTTGTTCACTGGCTGTTGCCCCATGAGTGCAGGCTGATCCCAGGACAGGGAGCTGCAGGGACAGTCCTAGGTCATCTAGGCCACTTATCTAGGTCATGAGAACCTCCAGAGATGGCCACACCTCAGCCAGTCCAAACAGCTGGGAATCTCCTCATTCCCAGACACCTACATGCTTTCCTGCCTGTGCCCACGCTGTCAGCTGCCATTGCTAATTTTGGTCATTTATTCTGTAAAGAAAAGCAGGTAGCCTAATGGTGAAGAGACTGGCAGTCGGACCACCCTGGCTTGATTCCCAGCTCTGCCAAAGATGGGGGGTTTGGTTGTTATTAGGAGGCTTGGCAACTCCAAGCCTCCATTCCTTCACCTGTAGCATAGAACTTCTAAACGGTTTGTAGGATTGTTATGAGGATTTCATGAGATAATAAATAAGTAGGAAGCAAGTGTTTGACACAGGGTGTTCAAAATTTAAGCTCACTGCTTTTTCCTGGAAAATGATGACTATTTGCTAACCGTCCACCAGTTCCCCGTGTGTCTCTTTTGATCATAGCTAGCCTCCATCTTTCCCTTCTGCAGGGGAGGAAGAACTGCCCGGTGCAGAGGAAGCCCCACTTTTTGCCCTCCCTGTTGGGGCTAGGGAGCCGATATCACACAGCGGGTGGTTGGGAGAGACGGAAAGATGACTCTGGAGAAACTCTGAACTATGGGCTCAGTATCTGAAGACCCCGGCGCCTAGCTTGGGAGGTGGGGTAGGGGCATGGGGGGTGGGGAGAGACGGTGTGAGGTGCCCTGCTGAAAACGGAGGCACTAACTGAACCACTTACTGAAGTGTGAGCACATCAGGCCTTTTCTGACGCTGAGGCTACCATGTGCCCCGCCCTTCCCCAGGGAAGGCATCTGGGGATTCTTCCTAGAGAAACAGATCCAAAAGACAAAACCTACAGCACGACCTTGGGGATCCAGGCCTGACCACCCTGTGGTGGAGCTAACCAGTTGACTGCTGCCACACACAGAACTTCGGGCCTGCAATTCACAGGGGTGATACTCTGTCTCTTCATCTCCCATATCTCTTTCTTCCCCGCTGGCCCCCACCTTTTGGTTAAAGGCGGGAGGAAAATGAAACCAAAAGAGCTTGTGCAATAGATAAAAGTGTTTCTTTGGTTTACAGAACTCAGTGTATCCCTCTTCATACGGGCTTCTCTCCTGGGCTGGCTCCTGACCACTCCAGTCCACTCCCTTGGCAAAGGCTCTCTTCAACGCCTGCTCCCCAGGGGCTTCTGCAAGCACTTGTAGCTATTCCCGGCTGTGACCTACAAGACTGATGCTCGAATAGGCAGGAGCTTCCTCTCGCTGTCTGCTAAGACCTGGCTTCTGATTTAGGGTCTGAGAGTCCACCTCCCAAGGACGGTTAGCACAGTGCCCCAAGGGATCTGCCCATCTCAGATGGCAACACTAAGCTTAATACCTGTGAGATGGGTGTTGTTCTCTTCCAGTTCCTCAAAAGTGAAGATGCTCAGGCAAAGATGGCAAGAGCTGAGCAGATGAAAGCTGAAGGAACAAGGAGAGGGAAACAGAAATAGCTGGTGCTATCTGAGCCTTTGGCATGTTGGGTCCTCTTCCTAGCATCTCCTAGGTTTTGATCCATTTAGCCCTTACTACAAGACTATGAGGGCAGGACTATTATTATCTCCATTTAAAAAAAAAATGAAGAGGGACGCCTGGGTGGCTCAGTCGGTTAAGCGTCTGCCTTCGGCTCAGGTCATGATCTGGGGATCCTGGGGTCCTGGGATCGAGTCCCGCATTGGGGATCCTGCCTCTCCCTCTGTCTGCCACTCCCCTGCTTGTGCTCTCTCTCTCTCTCTCTCTCTGACAAATAAATAAAATCTTTAAAACAAAAATAAAAAAAATTTTTAAAATTTTAAAAAATGAAGAGTGAGGTTTAGGGAGACTCAGTAAATGACCCCTAGGCAACCAGCTGTTCATGAAGGAGCAGAGTATGCGCCCAGATACTAATTGCAGGTACAAGAATGCACAAAAATAAAGTAAGCAGTATATAGATATAGATTCTTTATTTAAATTCAATTTAGTTAACATACAGTGTATTATTAGTTTCAGGGGTAGGATTCAGTGATTCATCAGTTGCATACAACACCCAGTGCTCATTACACCATGTGCCCTCCTTACTGCCCATCACCCAGTTACCCCATCCCTCCATGCACCTCCCCTCCAGCAACCCTCAGTTTGTTTCCTAGAGTTCAGTGTCTCTTATGATGTGCTTCCTTATTTTCATCTCATGTTATTTTTCCTTCCCTTCCCCTATGTTCATCTGTTTTGTTTCTTAAAGGCAGTTTATATCTTCTAAAGGCAGTAGGGTAGGGTATAGAGGAAAAAGAATGCCCAGAAACAAATTGAGAAGACTGATGTAATGAAAAGAAGGACTGACCCGACAGTGAGAGAATCAGGGCCCAGACCTCGGAGCTTCAACAGAGGCCTGAGCACATTTAATCAGGTGGCACGGTTCTGGTTTCCCATGATGGCAAAGAGATGTGGTTTTTCTTTTTTTCACATTTGCAATTAGAGAACGTAGAGTACACAGAACTTAAATGCCAGTGATAGAACATTCTAGAATTGGAAACGAGCATCTTTTCAGTTTGTCTTCTTCCCAGAGATAACTAATCAACAACCCAATCAAAAATTTCCTGTGCCTGACTACGTGCAGAGCTCTGAAGAGGCACTGACCCTCAAAGATAGGGGAGGGGGTCGAGATCAGCACTGCTCAATAGGAATATAATGTGAGCTTCATGTGCCAGCTACATATGCCATTTAAAATTTCCTAGTAGCCATGTTAAAAAATGGTAAAAGGGGGGTGCCTGGGTGGCTCAATCAGTTAAGCATCCCGACTCTTTTTTTTTTTTAAGGTTTTATTTATTTATTTGACAGAGAGAGACACGGCAAGAGAGGGAACACAAGCAGGGGGAGTGGGAGAGGGAGAAGCAGGCTTCCCGCGGAGCAGCGAGTCCAATGCTGGGCTCAACCCCAGGACCCTGGGATCACGACCTGAGCCGAAGGCAGACGCTTAACGACTGAGCCACCCAGGCGTCCCATAAGCATGCGACTCTTGATTTGGGCTCAGGTCATCATCTCAGGGTTGTGCCATGGAGCTGCCTCTGGCTCCACACTGGGCATGGATCCTGCTTAAGATTCTCTTTCCCTCTCCCTCTTGCCCCCACCCCCTGCTCATGCTCTCTCTCTCTCTCTCTCTCTCTCTCTCAAAAAAAAAAAAGTAAAAGAAACAGGTGAAGTTGATTTTAATAATATATTTCATTTAACACAAAATATCCAAAGTATTATCATTTCAACATGTAATCAATATAAAAATATTAATGAGATATTTTACATTCTTTTTCAAACCAGGTCTTCAAAATCTGGTGTATATTTTATACTCATAGCCCATCCCAATTCAGTCTAGCCACATTTCAAGTCCTAGCCACATGTGGCTAGTGGTTACCTTCTTTGCAGTGAGGTGCACACTTCAAACATAACACATACACAAAGGGGCGCCTGGGTGGCTCAGTCGGTTAAGCAGCTGCCTTGGGCTCAGGTCATGATCCCAGAGTCCTGGGATTGAGCCCCACGTCGGGCTCCCTGCTCAACGGGGAGTCTGCTTCTCCCTCTGCCTCTCCCCACCCCCGCATCCCCCCCCTATCGTCGTGCTCGTGTGCACGCGCGCTTTCTCTCAAATAAATAAATAAAATCTTAAAAAAAAAAACCAACCCCCCCCAAAAAAAGACACACACACACAGCAGGGTTCTCTAATACAGGGTAAAAAAAAGTAGAGTGCAGAGTCAGTGCTGGAGACCCTAAGTACTCCAGAGCAGACAAGCTGGTACTAAGCAGCAACAGCAGTAATTCTGCAGTTGTGCTTTCTTTTCTCTTTTCTTGTCTTTCCTTTTTTTAAGATTTTATTTATTTATTTGAGAGAGAGAGCACACAAGCAGGAGGAGCGGCAGAGGCAGAGGGAGAAGCAGGCTTCCTTCTGAGCAGGGAGCCCAATGCAGGGCTCGATCCCAGGATCCCCGGATCATGACCTGAGCCGAAGGCAGACGTTTAACCGACTGAGCCACCCCGGTAACCCATGCTTACTTTTCTTAAGGGTTTGCTTATTTTTTTTCAGCAACGTTCATTCCTTTTCACCAATTCGATAAATAGTTATTAATAATGACTTTCCATAATCAGATCCCTGCATCGTCATGGACAAAATTGCTTTTCACATTCGGAAAATCACTTCTAATCAATGTCAAGTGCACGTTTTTGAAAACCGATA